AAAGTCTACCACCCTGGAGGCAACTAGATTATATGTCAGCCAAGTTAGTAAGAATAAACGGAAGAAAAGACGAATATGGTTCACTAAAGAGACAAGTAGGATAGTAAAATGAAAAAAAAAAAAAAATCAGCATATAGGAGGATTCAAAGAAATAGGAGGTGTAGCTGACAGAGAAGAGTATAAGCATAGACAAAAGGGAAGCCAAACGAATTATCAGTGCTGCCAAAGCACAGAAAAAAGGAGGAAATTGCTAAATCTATTAACCTCTTGCCGACCGCGCATAGCCGAATGACGGCTTCACCGCGGCCGGCCAGTTCTGGGTGGACGTCATATGACGTCCTCCCAGAACGCGCTCTCCTGCACGCCCCAGGGGGCGCGCACCCCAGCGATCTCCGTGATCGCTGTGTCCTACGGACACAGCTGATCACGTGATGTGGTAAAAGGCCAATCACAGCGGCCTTTTACCACGTGATCAGCGGTGTCCAATGACACACTGATCACAGGGAAATGCAAGTGCCGGTTCTCGGCTGCACTTTCCTCACGCTGTCAGATCGTGAGGAAAGTACTGCCGAGAACCGGCAGTTGTCAGAGCGGGGATCGGCACCGATCATCAGGGCACTGATGATCAGTGCCCTGATGATCGGTGCCCAGCAGTGACACCCGCAAGTTCCGCCCAGCAGTGCGCCCACTAGCTCCGCCCACCCGTGCCCAGCAGTGCCCCCACCTGTGCCCAGCAGTGCCCCCACCTGTGCCACTCTGCAGTGCCCCTACCTGTGCCACTCTGCAGTGCCACCTACCTGTGCCCAGAAGTGCCACCTACATGTGCCCAGCAGTGCCACCCACCTGTGCCCACCCACCTGTGCCCACCAGTGCCACCCACCTGTGCCCACCCACCAGTGCTGCCCACCAGTGCCGCCCACCAGTGCCGCCCACCAGTGCTGCCAGTCAGTGCCACCAGTCAGTGCCCAGGGGTTGTGCCAGTCAGTGCCACCAGTCAGTGCCCAGCAGTGATGCCAGTCAGTGCCGTCTATCAGTACCCATAATCAGTGCCGCCTATCCGTGACCCCTAATTAGTGCTGTCTATCAGTGCCGCCTATCCGTGCCACCTCATTAGTACTGCCTATCAGTGCCCTTTAGTGCTGCCTATCAGTGCCCATCAGTGCTGCCTCATCAACGCACATCAGTGAAGGAGAAAAAATACCTGTTTAAAAAATTTTATAAAAGAAACAAATAAACTTTTTTTTTTTTCAAATTTTTTGCAATTTTTATTTATAGCGCAAAAAGTAAAGCGTCCAGTGGCGATTAAATACCACCAAAAGAAATCTCTATTTGTGAGAAAAAAATTATCAAAATTTCATATGGGTACAATGTTGCATGACCGCGCAATTGTCAATCAAAGTGCGGCAGCGCTGAAAGCTGAAAATTGGCCTGGTAAGGAAGGGGGTATAAGTGCCTGGTAGGCAAGTGGTTAAGAAAAGGAGATAAAACCTTTTTTTTAGGTACATTAGTGATAAAAAGAAAAAATATGATGGGATCACTAAAATGAAAACTGGGCACAACACTTATGTTAAGGGAGACCTGGATGTAGCAATCCACTTAAACATTTGCTTTTGTTCAGTCTTCTCAGAAATAAATTATACTAACAAAAATAAGTTGGGAAATCATACTGGTTCTGGTAATGATGGTTCATGTTCAGGATATCCAGAGACAGAGGTAGCAGAGGAACTGGCTCGGTTAAAGATTAATAAAGCGATGGGCCCTGATGGTACTTCGAGGTATAGTTGCTGGACCATTAACTGATCTCTTTAATCAATCTCTTCTAACAGGAGAGGTTCCTGACTGGCTGACAGCTAATGTACCTAACCACAAGGAGGGCAGCAAGGTAGAAGCTGGCAATTACAGGCCAGTGAGTTAAACATCAGTTGTAGTCAAGTTAATGGATTCACTGAAAAAGAAGGATCATTGATCACTTAAAAACACACAACTTGATGGATCCAAATCAGCATGGCTTTACCGAGGGCAGATCATGTCAGACTAATCTGATTGGACTTTTTGACTATATTACCAATGTTTTGGACCAGGGTGGTGCTGTGGACATACCTTGATTTCAGTAAGGCATTTGATACAGTTGCACATAATGATCTGATAGAAAAGTTGTACAAGCTAGGACTTAGCCCTTCGGTGGTTCAGTGGATATGCAGCTGGCTAAAGGATACCGGAGTGTGGTAGTAGATGGGGTTCACTCGGAACAGAGACCAGTCACTAGTAGTGTACCACAAGGCTCTGTACTAGGTCCTGCTCTATTTAATCAATATGCAAGTGATATAACTAAAGGTTTGTTGGATAAGGTAGGTCTGTTTGCTGATGGCACAAAAGTGTGCAATAGGGTTCATACCCCTGGAGGTGTCTGCAACATGGAACATGATTTGGCAATGCTGGAAGATTGGTCAAAAAAATGCAAATTGCATTTCAATGTTTCTAAATGTAAAATAATGCACCTAGGGAAAAAGAATCCCTTGAGAGGAGTACAACATTGGGGGTACAGTGTTGGCCAGCACTCCAGAGGAAAAGGACTTGGGGGTATTTATTTCAGAAGAATGCAAAATGAGCAAACAGTGTGGCCAGGCAGTGGGGAATGTGAATAGAATTCTAGAATGCACCACTAGAGGGGTCACCAGCAGGAGGAAGGAGGTCCGGATTCCCCTATATAGATCTTTAGTTAGACCTCATTTAGAATACTTTGTCCAGTTCTGGAGACCTTACTTACAAAAACATATTGATAAGATAGAATGAGTCCAAAGATGGGTAACAAAAATGGTAAAAGTTTGGGGGGGCGGTAAAACATATCAAGATTGACTTCAGGAACTTAACATGTATAGTCTGGAGAAAAGAAGTGAAAGGAGAGACATGATTGAAACCTTTACATACATCAAGGGGGTGAATAAGGTTCAGGAGGGTAGTATTGTCAACACGAAACCAAAATGAAGAACACGGGGACATGACCTTAAACTAAATGGAGGAAAGGTCAAAACTAATCTCAGAAAGTACTATTTTACTGAAAGGGTAGTTGATACTTGGAATAAACATCCAGCAGAGGTAGTGAGCCAGTCAACAGTAAATAGCTTCAAACATGCTTGGGACAAGCATAGATCTATACTCACGTGTCAAGGAAGTGGAGAGAGAGAGACTCACAGTCTGTGAGGCAAGTGGAAGTTCTCGGACAAACTTAGACACAGGCTGTTGATCCTCCAATGTGGCCTGCCTGGCACCCTTGTAATGGAGGAGCCTAACCCCCCTGATTGGGACCGAAGATTGTGATAAGAGGCTCTTTTGAAGTTACAACTTACAGCTACAAATTCCATTTCAAGAGGAGGGAGGAAAGGAGAGCGCTGATTGTAAATGAAAAACAACATGGCTGAGACCTTAACAAGATGGCTGTCACGTACAGCGTTCATGTCTCTATTGCGCACAATCGTCACATGAGCTATCTGCCCTAGGACAAGAGTTCCTCTTCCATCTATGCCTCTGACGGAGCAGTTTGTTTAACCCTCTGACTGCCTCTATGCCTCCAGATGTGATATACCTATATGCCTGTTATCATTGACCTTCTGGTGAGTGTACGTCTAACGGAGGGTGGTGGATTCCCGTGTGATTAATTTCACATTCAAGTCCTGCACTTTATGATCCTATGGACACTGATTTAATTGAGTTTCTTTTATGGACATATATTTTTAATGTTGCAATAATTACCAATGTGCAACCACAAATGAGTTATATCAGTAATATTTGATTATTTTAGTCGCACTTGCAGTGCACCTATTATCACCTTTGCTCTCAGACATGATTGCTTTATCGCTTGCCGATTTGCTGTTCATTTTATTCGCAAGTTTTATACACTTATGTGATGCACCTTACTATCATAAACCTTTTCTATAACCTTCCCCAAAAAACTCAAATCCTACCCCTCATTCCCAATATATCAAAATGTCCACAATACAAAATCCAAAATTGTCCACACTATCCAATCTTCCAGCTGTGATAAATATCCGATTCGTCACTCCAATCCAAAATACCTCAAAAAAATAAACTAAATATAGTGCATTATCTTTCAAAATATAATATGTGATATCATGCAAAATCACTAGTGATGTAAAACATAATATAAACAATATTATAAATCAACACGTGAAGTTAAAGATCCACACAACTCCACTAGTGATATTGTGAAATAATCACTGCAATAAGTGAAATACAACAAATTCAAAGTATGTGACCAGTGAGAAAGTGTACAGGACCAGATAAGTGCCACCACTCTGCATTAGGATGACATGCTATTACCCTCTTTCATTATTATCCTAACGCAGAGTGGTGGCACTTATCTGGTCTTGTACAGACAATGTTCCAAAACACACTGCAAAAACCCAGGAGCTTTTGAAGGAAAAGAAGTAGAATATTCTGCAATGGGAGAGTCAATCACCTAATCTCAACCCAATTGAGCATGCATTTCACTTGCTGATGGCAAAACTAAAGGCAGAAACACCCACAAACAAAAAACAACTGAAGACAGCTGCAGTTAGAGCCTGGCAAAGCATCAGAAAGGAGGAAACTCAGTCTTTGGTCAGACTTCAGGCAGTCATTGTCAGTAAAGGATTCTCAACAAAACATTAAAAATGAACATTTTATTTATGATTATATTCATTACATTTGAGCCCCTGAAAATGGAGGAACTGTGTATAAAAATGGTTGCAGTTCCTAAAATTTGTACTTGATATTTTATGTTCAACCCCTTGAATTAAAGCTGAAAGTCTGCACTTCAAATTCAGTTGGATTGTTTCGTTTTAATTTATTCTGGTGGCAGAGCCAAAAGTATGAAAAGTACTGTGCCCAAATATATAGACGTGTGTGTGTGTGCGCATGCGCATATTTGAGGTTTTGCTCAGATGCTCAATTGGTTGTTAGAAGAGCTTCAGAGAGATGTCATGGATAAACATGTGACTTGCCTGCATTACAGTCACTGCTCCATATGTGACAGCTGTCCAATATATAGATCCCACCATTATCCCAGCTGCAGCAAAAGGGCACGCTTTGGATATCAGTCTGTCTGCAAGGTCCAGCATGTAAACGACAGGACCTAGAACAAAGGAAAAACACTGTTAAGTTATATGTACAGAAGCAATGCAAAGATACCTTCCACAATATAAGAATGAACACCACCTGAAATGAAGATCTTTTAGGAGTCCATTCATACCAAGTGCAGTGGGCGGTTATTCCAGTGCAGTTCCACTGCACCTCCAAAATGCCTTGTCTCCTGTGTGGCTGGTTCACACCACTGCGTTGTGGTGTGTGTGTGGGTGGTGTACTGGAAACATTTCAATAAAATTTGTTTAACAAAATGAACAGTGCAGTGTGCAGGTATCTGCAAATCAATACTGTGCTGGTCCAGCTGGACCACACCGCACACCAGCTGCTGCGTTGCAATGCAGTGGCTGGTGTGATCATTTCAATTAATTTCCCATGAACAAGGTCACAGACTGAACTGGCCTAGCTTTAAAATGAAGTTTGCAGTGTGCACTTGTGGGTTGGAGCTTAACCAGCAGGCTAGAATAATTATAAATAAGTGGCTGTGTGATGCCAGGCAGACTGCACAGCAATGATCACCAGAGCATTTCTCTTTAGGTCAGTATATAATACTGCTTAGATAAACATTACCGCTGACATATGTCAAAAGAATTAGCACTGACACCTTGCTGCATGGTTTATTTCCCACTACAGGCACCAACAGACTAAAGCACATATGTCCTTCCCTGGCTTGTATAGGCTCCCTGTACATCCATATTCCCTCTCTCGACAGCAGTCATTGACTTGGAACTCAGGACATCCTTGATCTCAAACAGCAACTCTACAAGCAAAGAGCAGGAAGACAGGTCAAGAGTATCCATGACGACAGCCCCATATTTATATTCTGACAGGTTCCCTTTAAAAATACATGTACACAAAGAATAAGCACGCCTGGTATTAAGCTCCTAACGTCCCCCCTTTACCCATATCTGCAAAGTAATCAAAAATACTTTCCTACTAAATGACAGTCTCTGCACAGTGAATGTGCACTGCTCCTCTGTCCTAGGAACCGGAAACTGCAATACTGCACATGTAGAACCTCTCTGCCATAGAACATAATGTTAGTCTGCCTGTAGGTGCGCTTATCCTGCAAGAGGTGATCTGAAGAGTGTGTTATACTGGCACAGGGCAACTTGTGTACAGTCAGGGAAAGAATTCAAAAATCAGTCATCACCATAAATCTGTGATAACATGCCTCTCGATATACTCTTGTTTCACACTGTCTGTGCTGGGTAGCAAAAATAAATCTCCCCCAGTACTCTGGTGAAAATGATGCAAAATGCTAATGGCACAAATAGAGATTAAAACAAAGAGGAGGAAAAGACACTGCAGTCAGGGTGACATAGAAAGATAAGATAAAAGCAAACTGTATATTAGGATATCTAGCAGATTTAATTTAATATGCCGTTACAAAACCACAACTAGAGATGGGTATTGGAAGCAGACATTTCTAGGAGGAAAACATTTGCAGGTCCAAAACAGGGATGATTTATTCACAATGAGTACATTTTACAGCATGGTGCAATTCTGCAAAGGCCAACCTGACAAAATATAAACATACTACCCTGAACACTGTGCAATGCTGTCCCTACAGACCTGACCTAAAGTCAGAGAAGTGACTTTGGAGCTGGAAAACTCATGGCTGGTCGCTGATGTGCTGTGACTTGAGGTCTCCTAAGATTTCCATTTTTATCCCTTAGTCAATAAAGAGAGGAGGCTCTATGAACATTTCCTGGCATAATTCTGTTTTTCAAACACACTCTGTTCCAACAGGAAGGTCACATAAAAAGACTTTCACGTTCAGGACTCTAAAACTTTAAACAATGATCTCGCTCTGTGGGTTAAAAAGGGAAAAAATATTTTCTAGAAGTTAAAGTGGTTCTAAAGGCAGAAGGGTTTTTTTTTCCTCTTAATGCATTCTCTGCATTAAGATAAAAAACCTGCATGTAGCCTCCTTCCGAGACCCCCCCCCCCCCCCCCCCCCCCCCCATATACATACCAGAGTCCAAGCTCAATCCAGCACTGTGCAAGACAGCAGAGGCTCTTTTGGCTCTCTCCCTCCTCACTGGCTCAGACACCGCAGTGGGAGCCATTGGCTCCTGCCAATCATAGCGGTGCTCGGAAGTGAGCACGTATGAGTGCCCCTACAGCAAGCAGCTTGCTATGGGGACACTCCTAAGGGGGTGGGGGGGGGGAGCCAGGAGCATTGGTGGGGGATCTATGAAGAGGTAGATTGGGCCTGCTCTGTGCAAAACCATTGCACAGAGCAGGTAACTATGACATGTTTATTATTTTTAAAGGAAAAAAAGGGAAGCTGTACAATCATTTCAAAGTGACCCTGTCAGTACCTTAGCAAAATCCAAAAAGTCGTTAACTGCAATGTTGACCTCTCTGGCAGCCCAAGTCTACTACTATTACTACTATCAATCAGTTTTAGCCTCTATCAGACACTTCTGGGAATGTCAGATGTCTGTGCTCCCCACTGCATAATGTGTTTCCTTCTTCCAGATTGTATCTATGTCACTACTGTGTCCTGCAGTGATGCTAGTGATAGAGGAAGAAAGAAAAGTGAGGTGGGGGACACAGGCAACCAACAGAACTGTCAAATGCTGAACAGTCTGATAGAGGCTAAAGTGCTAGAACTAAAGGAAGTCAGGGGACAAGCCACCGGAGTTAAATCATTTTTTGTTTTGTTTTTTTAATAAAAATGTATGCATATGTCCACTGGAAGATCATAGACCGTACCGAAAAAGTTAAAGTGAATGTAAAGTCTTTTTTTTTTTTTTTAATTAAAATAATAATCAGGTTTATACTTCCCTCCTCTTCTGGGGTTCCCTGCCAGCGATCTAGACTCCGTTCGGTGTCTGCTCCCATGGCAATCCGCTTGCTATGGAGGCAGATGTGTGGGCTTGCTCCCAGGCCAGGCTATGTGTGTGTCTATATCTATAGCCAATGGCTCTCGCTGTTCTCAGCAAAGTCTGTAAGGGGGGGAAAAAAAAAAAAAAAAAAGATCTGCAGACAGGCTCAGCACTGGATCGATATAGGAGTCAGCTAGGTGTTAGGGGTAACAGACAGCGTAAATGTTTTACCTTAATGCAGAAAATGCAATAAGGTAGAAAAAAAAAAACCAAAAAAAAAAAAACCCTAACACTATCTCCCCCTCCAAAATACATACCTGAGCCTGATCTCGATCCAGTGATGTGCGTAAGAGCTGAGGCTATCTCAGCTCTTTTGCTTCTCATTGGCTCAGATACAGCAGAAGAAGCAAAGTGTTTTATGGAATTACTGAGCAGGGCTCATGAGCAAGCACATGGGTTTGCCCCAAGAGCAAGTGGCTTGCTTTGGTGACCTCGGCAAGGGGGTGAAGTCCAGACTGCCAGCGGGGGACCAGAGCAGAGGAGGATCGAGGCTGCTCTGTGCAAAACCATTTCACAGAGCAGGTATGTATGACATGTTTATTTTAAGAAAAAAATATGAAGGTTTAACATCACTTTAAGTGGAAAGCTGTACTCTACAATACTAAGTATTCTGTTCTAAATGTGTTTTATTCTATTTCAAGCGTTAGATGTGCCACAATAAGTGGGCCAACGTCCCCAAATAAAGCCTACTAAAGCCCATTTATGTGAGAAGGACAAACACAACATATGGTAAAGTGAGCACTATTTTGTCTCCTAAACAACTACTAAAAATTACAGCACTGCTGCAGTTAAAGACAAGGGCAGGTCACACAAATGTGAATGTTTGTCCATCAAGTCTATGCATTCTGATCAACACTTGTCTCAATCGTACAAAGAAATCCCAATGCTCTCTTTCTGCAACTCAGAAACAAAGAAAAGTAGAAAGACCAGTTAAAAACAATGCTACCCATAAAGATCCACTGTCCTTTATGACTGTAATGCTATGACACTCCTGATGGAATGGGCATCTAGGATGAGCTTTGCTCTATGATACCAAAGGTCTGAGAAATAAGCTCACAAGTCCACCTAGAAATAGTAGATCGAGACAAAGCCTGACCACTACAAGGACCCTCTTGGAAAAAAAGATCAAAATTAATCTGTAGACTTCAGATACACTTAAACAACATCCAAAGGGTGAAGCACCTTCTCTTTAAGATGCTTAGGACAAAAAGATAACAGAATATCCTGATTCAGGTGAAACTAAGAAAACACCTTAGGTAAGAAAGAGGGCTGAGACCTCAAACATCACCCCAACCTGTTGAAGTAGTAGGGTTTCTTGAGGGAAAACACAGCCAAAACAGAGATGCTACAAGCAGAGTTAACTGCCACCATAAAGGCAATCTTGTGTGTAAGAAGTGACAAGGGAATTTCTCAGAGGCTGAAAAGAAGTCTGCAAAATAGATAAGACCTTGTTATAGTACCAGACGGGAAGGGGGGGGGGGGGGGGGGGGGCACAATAGGATTCTGAAGCAGAATGGCCAGGGCTGATATATGTCCCTTGATGGTACTTAAGTCAGAGACGTCTCCACCCCAGACTGGAGAAAAGCTGAAATGTGCCCTAAAACATACTATAAAAGATGATACATAGTGCCTCACACCAGCAAAAAAAAAAAAAATTAGAAAAAACTGTCCACATAGGACAGGAGACCTACTGGGAGGGAAACCTTCTAGCCTTGAGAAAGGTAGGAATTTCAGAAACAGAAATTTTATTGCAGGATCCACTAATGGATGGAAGCCACATGCTGTATCCACAGGCCCCAAGGAAGAAGCACACATGCTCCATAACATGTAGTCATCCACACTGTTCTCTGTGCTGAGTTGACGTCATTTCCGCTGCCAAGGTGCGCTCCAAGAGAGTTCCTCCAGTCCTGTGGATATAGCGTGCAGCAGTGCTTTCATCCATCAGCGGGCCCTGCAGGATGGGGTGTTCGGCGGTGTTTTTATGATCATTTACAAGCAAGAATTCTTTTTTAGCAAGTGAGTTGCCTAACGTTTCTGAAATAAATGTACTCCTATTACCGCACTTAGGTGGTGCTTCCCAGTTTTCTCTTTACAT